CCCGGGGGTCCCGGGGCCGTGCCCTGCGCCGAGGCGTTCCCGCGGGGCCAGGCTCCGCCGCCGTACCTGAGCCGCCGCTGCCGCCGGAACTCCTTTGCCTTTGGGTGGCAAACCGTGGGTGGGTGGCAAACCGTGGGTGGCCGTTCCCTTTTTTTAACTTGTTATAAAAGTACTGAATTTCCTTGATCATCCGGCTATTGTCTTTGGCCTGTTTCCAGCACTTGAATGGATTTTTAAATAAAAAACTAGGCCGTAAATGTTTTTTTCAGGAGACGCAGAAAGAAAGAGAGACAAGCCACCCTAAGTGTCTTCCGTGACCATGCCTGCGTCAGTATGACAAAGTGTGAACTGCAGGAAGCCACAGAGGCACTGTTTTGCCTCCTCCTCTCTTCACATCCCTTAGTCTTTACCTTTTCCCAGCATTGGATTTATAAATGTAAACACAACTTGTCCCTGCAGCTTGTTCTTCCGCAGTTGCAGTGCATACTGGCAACAGCACTGTTTGTTTTCGTTTTCCTAGGTAGGTTCTGATTCCGCTGTGACATTTTAATAACGCGCAGGATGCCTGAAGCACCCCTCTTGCCATTAAGCCTTCTGAAGCATCGCTTTGCTTTCACATGAGAAGTACGTGTGTGAGAGTGTGTCTCAGAGAGGGAAGGTGTGGGTTTTATTCCATCAGTTTATTTTTAACTTGTGATTCAAGTCTGAAAATATAGAATTAAAACCACGGAATTTGGGTCATAAACATACTGGAGAAAGTTTCTGTGAAATGACTTCTTTGATGAGAACTTAAAAATAAGCTAAAGCAGAGAGGACCACTTGGGCACACTTATATCTTCTTCTAAACCACAGCTGGCACCCAGCAAGATCATTTCAGTGCGGTGACAGTGCCGCGATACAGGGTGTGACGGTGGCTGCACAAACTGCGTATCCCCGTGTGTTAGGTCCCTGGCGACTGCTGAAGTAGCCCATGACACTACACCTTTACTGCAGTATTCTCTAAGTTGTAGATAACATTAGTGCGGTTTGCCGGCTAGCGCAACAGAGAGCGTCCCGCTCACAGGCTGCGTGCCTGCAGAGCAGCGTGGGCATGCCGCGCACAGCGCTGGCCTGGCTCGCACAGCTCCCGGCGGCAGCAGGGACCCCAGGTCCCGGGGCGTGTGTCTTGCTGCTCACATCGATTTTAGAGATTTTGCTTAGCTCTATGCTGCAACAATGCCTATAGCAAGGGAGAGCTTTGTGATTGAAGTGGGATAACAAACTCGGCTTGCTGAGCTACTTTAAATAGCAGAAGTTTCAGCATATTTTGGTGAAGCTGTTTGCCAGACACTTAAATTAATTCCATGTGTCTGGCCTATCAGCAGCAGCTCTGACCTTTCCCAGTTGGTCTCAGATTGAAAGGTGAGAACCGGTAATCAGCCTGCTACGCTTCAGCTCTTGAAATCTGTCCAAGCACCACTCGCAGAATTATTTCCTGTGAGTGGCCAGGTCCTACAGGAGCTGAAGACATCTGTTTGCCTAATGCCCGTGCAAGACTGTATCTTAGAATAATACCACACTTCGCTTGTAGCTTTCCTCCCAAAAACTCCTGACATGCTCTGTAAATGTGGAGCCGAAATGTCTTTCAGTTTAAATAGTTGGAGACGTTACCTTTATGAATGACAGAAGCAAAACCATTCAGGCCAGCACCGCATGGCACAATGTGTGACAGTGGATGTAAGGAGAAATTTTCGCCTAAGGATTCAGGACAAACCCTCCTATGTGGGAGGCACACTGGCAGTGTAATACATGTACCTGCGTTAACGTTTTTGTTAAGATCTTATCTTGAGAAGGGTCCCATACAGCGAATTAGAGGATAGTCCTCACACGTGATCTGAAAGGTGCAGACTCAGCCATGTGAGTGTCTGAGTGCGCCTGGCTGCCACTGAAATCGCTGTATTTGTTGAACCCTTACGAGAATTTTGCAGTTGCTTTCAGTGCGAACATGGTGATGCCCTGCGGTGACGGCACTGCTCAGCACTTTACAGGACAGAAGAGAGCTGGCCCTGGCAAAACTCAGAATGGTTTCTGTGGCATCTAAGTATTTTAATTCTCATTCTTTGATCAACCCTTGGTTATAGAAAGCTCCTGTATATTTCAAAGCCTTCTTGAGTGACTACGAGGTTTAAAAAAATGGTTTTCAACTGTGTATTATCTCATTTCTACCTCTTTCTGTAGAAGCAGACCATAGATATGTTGGTAGTTGGTGCTGCGTAAATACGTAAGCTGGAACATAGTGTCGCGAATGTAGGTGGAAAAAGGAGGTCTTGCCGTGCTATTCTGTGGGAGTCAACGCATGTTGTCAGACTGGTAGTAGCATACGTATTCTCGTTTATCCAAACAGCCAATATATTTTTTCCATATAGACAATATTGGACCTGTGTTTTGGTGGGAGAGAAGAAGTGACGAACTGTCTTCCAGGCAAAACCAGAGTGGTATTTTCATGTCCACTGTGAACCCCCTTTCCCAGAGCCGAGAAATCAAATTGTCTCCCAGAAGAAGAACCGTTCGGTTAAAGCAAGAAGGTACCCGTTGGGTAGATCTGTTAGGCTCCTTTACAGACAGTAGCAGTTCCTGATGATCTGGCAGCATCAATTTTATGGCTGGTTTGGTACACACCTGAAGAAGAACATTGCTGACCATTTGCCTGGAAGGTTTTGTACGCTGAGTGAATTGTCTGTCCATTTGGAAGGCACGCTTCAAATAGCAGGCTGTATCCCAGAGGGTACTGTGTTTTTCTTCACTCTTGCTCTTCAGGGTTAATCAACAGAAGGATGGAAATAGCGATGGTCCAACTAAAGAAAGTATCCTAAAATTATCCTGGAGTAAATTACTTGTCTCATAATAATGGCACATAACTGAAGAACATTTACAATAAAATTAATTTACTAAACCCAATAACTTATCTTATAATTAGGACTATAGGATGAATATAAAAAAAAGAATAATCTGGATTTTGCATTGTCATGTACCTCAGGATAGGCATATGACTGTGCACAGCAGCTATGCAGTTAGTTTGCCACTGACTTGCTGTGGGACTTTGGAAGAGTCACTTAAGCGTAATTTGCAAATATGTTTTAAAAAAGCATGGTTTGGATCTCTATATGATGAATTGGAGTTTTCTTTTATTTTTTGTTACTAGCTTTCCACATGAGAAAAGCCTGGGTTTCTGGCTTTTTTGGGCATTTGGGTTTTTTGAAGGTGACCCGTTAGACAACTGGGTAAGTTGTACCTAATGAGTACCTAATGAGTACCTAAATAAGGCAACTCGGGTGACAAATCTTTCAGAAGTGTATGATTTTCCAAAAATGTTGTTTGACTACAGATAGTGAAGCAAGCAAACAAACAAAAACCCCAAGAACCTCAAACAACTCAACCAAGTACTTTCCCTTCTTAAAAGTTCAGTTGCCACTTTCGGACTGGTTTTGTACCACCATTCCGCTATTTTGCAGGGATCAGAGGTTTCTCCAGAAAGTCTCTGGAGTCCTTTGGTGAACAGTCCTGAATTTCAAAAGTAAAAATCAAGCAAATGAATCCTTGACTGGCTCTAGGACAGTGTGAGAAGGATGCACTGTGTTGGGACAAGGTGCACTGTAGCAAGTCAAATTTCAGCAAAAAACA